GCGCGCTAGCGGAGAGCAAAAGGTTTTCTACGTCGGTGGAGCATTTTAGTGTTACTCGAATAAGTCTGGGTTCTGTATAGTGTGAGGAGTTCGGATAACGAGTAATTCGTAGTAAGTTTACGGGCTGGGCTTTGACACTCATCAGCAGGCACAATCAGTTCCACTGGTCATGGTCGTCCGAGAACTTATACCGCAATGTGATGGCGGTAGATTCAGGGACATTTGAGCATACAACAGTCCGCGCACTATTGTTGGATTCTGTTTTCGTTGATCTACTAAGTATGGTACTCGTTTGTCCTGACCTGCTGACAAGCGTTGATTGTTTACTGTTTGTCCCTCTATTCGCGTGGACGGTGTTTACAACAGATGAGGCCGCAACGGCGGCCTCCCGGCGAACCTTTGCAGCAATCTCTGCATACATAACTGATGTTCCGGGGGGCTTTGTCTCGACAAGACATTTGAGCTACAGGCACCGAGGGTTGGTGTTCGGCTGTTTCATCCTTGTTAGTGCTAGATGTCAGGTTTAGTGGAAGTTGCATATTACTGTACTAATCTCGGCACACCACGGCTGTAGTGAGTGATGCTAAAATCAGAAAATGAAACAGTGGTTCTAATGTTAGCCACTTGCCTTGGGACTGACTCGTGAGATTTGGATTTTTTCATACGCTATTTGGAGTGAGCATAAGCAGAAGAAACAGAACCCTGATGATTAGAAACAGAGCAAGGAAAAAGCGACCGTTATTCATGACGTCCCGGAGCGTCAAACCTCCTATGGACGTAAACAATTATTTATGACGGATGGGAAACGAGTGCTTAGGATTTTCGCGGGATGGCGAGAGTGGAGATTATGAAACCATAAGGTAAATATGAAAGGAAAAGAGGGAAAATTCGGGTTAAAGTTAACTTATCGAGCTAATCACATACATTTGTTTGCAGTATTTCGTCCTTCGAGTGAAAGGGACTATAACAAGTAAAGCGAATGGGACAGAGTGTGGACCGATATTCTGGAAAGTGTTAATGTAGGGGTGAAAATTACGTGAGGTGAAAGGAAGTTCTAGGTTCGGGACACATTAAGGGATAAAAGGTTTCGTCGGCTATTAAGTCGACTGTGGTGCGTGGCCAGTTTGAGCTGGTGGCCTCTCAGGTAGGTATTGTGGCTCGGTTGCAAAAGATTGCGACATGTGGGACTGGGGTTCGCCAACATTTGGTATACCATGAGCAAATCTTCTCGCATACACAAAATTTCACCGTCGTACAGGACAAGGGCTTGCAGTCTGCGTTGCTACGGGAGGTGACACACGCTTCTAGCGACTTGCATTACGCTAGATTATAGTGCTTCGCGCGTTTTAATGTTGATTTTGCGCCAGGGTTGGACAGCGTATTTCACGTAAGGCCTCACGTATTAGTTCAGCATTTGCGGGAAGACAGAATGCTCAAACGTCCCGGAGTTCCCCCCAAAGAGGCTAAGATGCTGTTGGTTATTCTCTATACTTGTTCAGCCTGTTTCGAGAATTCAAGGTCATTCTGCAACATTGCTTCTGAGGCGCTTTCCAGTATAGTACGTTGCAATTGCAGATGCCCCTGTTGGTATTCAGGTCCACTAACTGCATATACTCAGAACTTTGTATTTTGTTACGTGAAACTGGAGCCGTTTTTCGGATAACTAGGTATAGGCCGTCCAGGGCTCTCTACCTTGCCGTGTGAACATCCACTGCGTTGACGTCATACTAGATCTAGACAGTGACTGCAAATATTGGGAAGCTAGACTGGAACACATTAGTAAGATCGTTGACGAAGACTAGGATTAAACCTGCCCTTTGTACTGATCCTTGAGGTTCACCACAATGAAGTTCAATTTGGTCGAAAAGTGAAACGTATACTATCATATTCAGATGAGATTGCATAAGGAAGTTTCAACCAAGGACAGAGTCATCGATTCCATAGTTTCGAAGCTTGTAAAAGAGAATGCGGTGGGCCCGGCGATCGAACGCTTTTGAGAAGTCTAGGTATACGACATCGACCCCTAAGCTGACATCGGCTGACTACGTTTAGCTTGGTCAGGTTAGCAGCAAGTTTGCAGTGCAAGACCGATTTCGACAGAATCCGTGCCCATTGACACTGTGATGCTGTTGCACTTAAAGTACCGCATGAACGCTGCTGCAATGGATGGAGCCCACAGGTCAGTCGCCGACGAATTGTGCGAAACTCACTCTTCTTCCCCAAGTCACTGGAGTCTGCCATATGTGCAGTAAATGCTGCAAGCTTCTCCGACACCAATCGTCGCATCGTTCTTATCACACCAATCGGGCCGCTTACAGTTTGCGCGTCCGATGGTCTCCTCGGCAGTGGTTGTCAACTGGTCGCGAATGTGGTGCCACAGGTCGCCCACCGTGGCTATGCAGTCCACACCGCACAGCAATCGCCTTCTCCAGCTTAATACGCCACAGTATCTAAGGAGAGAATGTTAAATTGACATCGATTCAAGGCGGAAGTGCAATACATAGATTTACATGTATGTACAATTTGGTCCGCACCAATTTGTGATTAATGTCACACTTAGTATACGTGTCATGCGCACTTCACGCATATCACGCTGATGTACGATGACATAGTCGAGCAGGTGAGCGTGACCACTCCGTGTGTGCGTCCAAGTTGCTACATCACTCGCACTCAGTGCAAACCGAGTGTTCGTGGTAATCAGGCCGCTAGTGGCACACAGTGACAGCAGCCTGTCACTGTTCGCATTCGCTGAACCAATGCCATGCGGACCGATAACATCTGTCCACACCGATGCATCACGCCCAACGCGCGCGTTGAAATCACTCAGCAGAAATAGCCGGTCGTTCCTCAGCACAGACCGTATCATGGGAGATAGCTGAGTGTAGAATTGATCACGCGTGTCATTAGGATAACACATGGTCGGACTGTACGTGCTCTCAGTGACAAACTTACCTCTTCCGAGTCGCAGGCGAAAAGTCATGAGTCAGGCACTAATGCCAGCTGGTTCACCCACCAGCTGGCCAGTTAGGCGCTCGGATGGTACAAATTCGACCCCATGGTCACGTGGTGCACAGTTGGCGTTTCCTACCCAGTAGAACGTATAGCTGGCACCAAATTCAGGTAACTTACCTTGCTCAGCGAGCCAGGTCTAGCTGAGCGCCGCAATATCGATGTTGTAGCGCGCCAGTTCCACCGCGACTAGTGAAGGGCGTCGCTCGGGGCGCTCACTCGAGTCCCGGTCAAGAAGTGTGCGTAGGTTCCAGCATCCGATGTTGAGTGCTTTGTGCGCAGACATACGATTGCATTGGCGGGCAACCGCACGTGTGGTGGCGGTTGTGCTTCGGAGCCTTTGACTCAATAGCCTGACCCACAAGGCAGTGGGGAGCAGCTCGGGAATGTGATTGTAGAGACAGATTGCATCTGTGTGAGATTCGCCACATGCAGCCTTTGGAGATCTGGAACAATGTATATATGTTTTGCGACTGTAATAGGATACGCACCTGCGACCACGGCCAGATGCAGGTAGGTTTAGGCGGGTTTGACCACGGTCTGCCTGGCTTGAGGCGGACAGAAACAAACGATTGAGCACCTGGAGGTGCCCTCCCACGGTCAAGGACAATGCGTGGCAATCGTGTTCTATGCCAATCGAGCGGTGAGCTTATAACCCGTGGACCTGTTGTCTCCCATAGCTAGGTTTCACTGGAAGAGGGTTACCGACCACTTCCTAAGAGGATGGACTAGGATACTGGCAGGGCGCCCAAACCTGACAGCAGAACAACCCGGGTCCTCAGCCAGCCTTCGAGTAAATGTATACCCGAAAGGCACCGGGTCTAAAACACAGTCAGTTCACTGAGTCATGCGGATCGGCGTCCAGGATCTTAGCAGCTCCCACCCAGCGATCGCCACGAGGAAGTGTCCAAGACATGATCCCATGGAATAGCAGTAGCAGCATGGGGTAAACCATTTGGCAGGATCCAGCCACCGCAAGCCTCAGCACACACACGCAATATATATATATATATATATATATATATATATATATATAAACATCACTAATTCGCTTTTTCCGGTAAACTTGTAACGTTTCTGTACATTTACACATTATTCATGTAGCTTTATTATGACCATAAGTACTAAGACTTGTCTCGCGTTTTCGAGAATGTCATGTATTTATTTATGGAAGGTAGGCGAATTCCAAATGAAGCTTGGTTTCCCTCAAAGGGAACAAACAATATGGTAATTGGAGACCATAGGGTGGTTCATGTCCACATAACGTAAAGTGAAGCATGGCAGCGTCAGGAAAGAATGGAAAGGGTGTCGGTGGAAAGGAGCATAACAGGAACGGACAGACTAATGATTAGACGATGCCCATGAAGTGAGTAATGATTACATCATGTATTGCATGTATTAAGAAGTGATTGAAGGACCTTAGTTTGCATAAGCGAGGCAGTGCCAGAATACTTAACTAGATACAAGAGGAAGGAACCATGCGGGCCAATCCAGCAGCATGTCCTCCCGCATAATTTCTAAAACCGGTCACCACTGTGACGAAAACGTCCCGTTTCATGTAGCTCAAACAGAGTAGTTATTTGGTGACACACTAACTCTTAAGAGAGATGATAATGCATAAGTGAGTGATGAGCAAAAAAGTCGTGATGTTGGGACATGGGAAATCCACCCGACACCATCCACCGAAAAAGATAAAGTCGTGATATTTTTTCCCTCAAAGAGATGATAATGAGGAAACGCAATTAGCAATCCGCGCGACCGATTCGTGCTAGTTACAGCTGAACGGTGTCCCAGGTGACCACGAAATATTTGCAGCGTCACGTCAACACGTGCACCACCAAACGAAAGCACGACACTCACCAGAAGACTGTGGGATGTCAAGTAATCGGAGTCACACAATTCATAGTCGGTAGGTGAAATGAGCTTCGCAAGTTAATGCGATTGCGCCAGTGTAGGAGCAAAGGCCCGGACACACTTGGATCATCTAACGGACAGTAACGACGATAAACACCCATCGGCTAAGAGGTCACGGAAAAGACCCATTGCATTTGTTCATATACTACTTGGATGAAGCACGCAGGAAGGAAAAAGGTCTTCGCGCTTTCAAATAAACTACTAGTGCGCGGAGGACGGAGGATGGTAGGTTAAATGCGAATGAAAATCAATCAGGTGATAGCCCAGTGGGGCAGCTACCGAGCCACGACAGCGAATGGACGAAAGAGGCTTGTGATTTGACACCATCAAAAATAGACAATCCATTTTAACAATGACAAAAAAGAGTTGGGGTCATTAAAGAGTCGGTTGCGTCCCTCTGGTATCAGCGTTGAGTGTGTGGAGGTGAAACGCCGGCAACGAAGAAGTTGAGTGACAATTAGGGTAAATGAAGGAATGGGATTAAGTACAAAGCACCGGGAAGAATAGGCACTAGGCCGAAAGAAAACCGGAGAATAAGGCAGTCCATTAGTTGATGGACTCGGGATTGCTAGTGGAAGACTGCTACAAAATAAGAATCGATATCAGTTTGTAAAAATGAAACGCAGAAACGGACGATATGTGAAAACGGTCAGATGGGTTCGGGGTGATGGGGATGAGTGAACTCAAGTGTACAAAAGACCATTTTGTGATGAGAGACACATGGGTGTAGGTATCAAAAGTGATGATGAACAACTTCAATGGAATGCCATAAACTGCGAGAACCCTCTGTTGGCTGAAAAATAAACACACTCAAAATAGGAGTAAAAAATAATAACCTCGTACACACGGCGGTTAGATGGCATAGGATAAAACTAAAAGCCACCACAAAGTGAGTTATGCGTATAAAGAAGAACGGCGCAAGAATTTGTGGAAAATCGTATAAGTGGATTAGGTCTGCAGGGTAAACAGAAAAACGATCCCTAAAGAGCGATCGGTGAGGTGTGAAGCTGGTTGATTAAAATGACAATGGGTGCGAAAAAATAGCCTCGCTTAGCTTCAAAGCTGAAGTTCACAATGAACGTCAAACATGGGCCAAAGCAGTTTCATGAAGCGAAGGCAGCCCATGTCGTTTTGGACACAACTGACTTTGGGCAGTGAGGGCCAACTTGATTGCTGAAGCATTCAGTCGAGAGGCGCGCAGTAAATCTACTATAGAAATCATTTTGGTCGAATGCAGAGTCAAATGCACGATCATATCCCCCATCGACTTCGACTGCATGGATTGTCCGGTTTCAAGAGCAACCTCAACCATGGTGTCCGAGTTGGACCAATCAGACGGAAAACTATCAATGTGTAATGACAGTTGGGGGTCGTCATCGTTCATCGTAAGTTCACCCTCCGGAGAAACCGACTCGTTAGCCAAATGAGTGACAGAACCAATTAGCCCATCGGAAACAGTATCACTCAGCGGAAACGGTTCGTCAAATTTGCTGGTGTTATCGTTTGAGAAAGCTGGTGTCGTATCGTGCTCTGTTCCACCGAACACCGAGCACTCTTTGTGTTGATTGTGGGATGGATTTATGGATACCTTCTCGGTTATACATGAGCTTCCTGAATCCGGTGGCGTAAGAAACAGATTCGTTGACCGCGTGCCTAAAAGGAAGTGGCTAGGTTCCAGCGAGACGAGAAGCCTAGTAAGTGCGTCCTCGGGGGCAACGTTCTCTGGCAGGAAAGGCGTGTCGGGTTCGACACCCCAAAGGAAAGCCGGGTTCAGCAACCGATGATCACATGCCTCGGCCAAACTAGACAAGAAGTCATGGGTTGAAAACTCGACAATCGGTGAGGATGAGCGGGAAATACTCTGCCCATCTAGCTCAGTTAGTGGAGTCCATTTATCCGCTGATTCTTCGTATAATACCGTCGAAATCTCTGTGACATCACCGCCAGAAAACGGTTCTATCTTCTCACTGACACGATTACCTAGGGGCAAATTCCCCTCAGTAACCAGGATAGAAGATGGACAGACAGCTTCTGATTTGCTCCGAGATGCGCTTTTAGATTTTTTTCCGGCTACAGAGGAAAAAAGAGGGGAAGCATGATAGACCAGGAAAACTCATTGATCACAATAAAGTACGCAGAACATGCTATCAAGTTAGGCAATAAAAAATCTAATGAATCCGAAGGAGATCTGAGGCATTTAGCGTACAAAAGCGCATTCAGAAAAATGAAATAGAGCGACCAATAATTGCGATGAAGGTAGGGGAAACGTGGGTGAATAGGAATCCCAACGTATAACGCCTGTGTATTGCCCGTTCATGGATAGAGTAAGACCATTAGCAGGTTTATTCTAGCCCCGAAATATAGGTGCTCGAAAAATTAATCGGTTTTTGTACCTGATTCAAAAGTAAAACGTGACCAAAACACAAAAGCATACGAAACTGTTTTGTATATAAAACCTTTCGAACCTATCTAGACCTATTGAAAATAGGAGATGATTAGTGGCTCAAGAGTTAAAGTTCAAGGATGAAATCTTGGTCACCTGATCAGTGACCAAGTGAACCAATATGTATCAGTGCCAGATAGTCTGTGTAAATTCTGCAATGCGAGCGATAAGAGAGGGCCTATTAGAATCCGTATTGAGCTCCGTGAAGAAGGCGTAAGTATGATCATCGGGACACTATTTTTTGAGGAATCCGATCCCTTTTTCTTTACTAGCGACTTTTGCTGGTTACGAACAAAACTCAGGCTTTCCTGAGCCCTACATATACACACGCACAAATTGCTTACAGGGATAGCTGCCTACAGAGTTAAATGAATAGGTAGCATGAGATCATCTCAACCCTTGGCTCCGCGAACTAGATAAGAAATCCAGGAAAAACAATTGTGACCCACAGGCCTTCAGGAAGTATGCGGTAACTGATGCCACTTACTGGAAGAAACTGATTTCATTTCGAACAAATCAGCACTGGTGGTTTTACTGCCATCTATGCGGTTTTCTATTGAGGTCAACACAATCGGCGGTGTCGATAACGATGAGGCTGAAGTACACGGTGCGGCTAACGAATCACTGAACGTTGTCTGAACTGTCAAAGATATGCCCAATTTTGGAGAAAGAGGGTATTCAGTCAACCCACTGGGTCCTGGACTCGTTTGGTCATTTAAGCGAGAGGGAGTTCGAGTTCGCCGAGTTGATGATCGTCTAGGCAGGGACACGAGGGATGGAGAAAGACTCAAGTGTTCTGATCGCCTTGTGTGAACAAGAGCCGGTGAGTTGACATCCGCTTCGGTTTGAGAGAGTTTTGTTTCATCCACTGAAAGACAAAGTAAACGTCTGGCGCGTTGAGAGAATCGGGTTAGATTAATCATTAACTTGTCCACCCATCCCACATGTAGCACAGGTACCGGTGAGCCTTCTTCCCACAAGCACAGATGATCGTAAAACGCGAGGAGATAAGCTAAGCATTGAGGATCATCTGAAAGACAGAAAACAAGCAGGGCATAGCGGGGCGGCCAAAAGTGGATGACAGTAAAAAGAAGAGTATCAAGACAAAGAATAAGTCGGAATGTGGAGAAAATCAATTGGCATGCAAGCGTTGTCCATCTCAATGACTACTATGATAATAGCTGTGAAAGGCGAGGTCATAACACTTCAGAAAGAAATTAATGTGTTAGTTGGAAAAAGTTGAGCAGATGAAGGTGGCATCAGAGGAAAGCCCAAAAGTAAAACCCTCTGGGTGGACTGTGAAAATGGAAGCTGAACAGGAAAAACGAAACATACCCAAAATATTCGAGGGTTGATACACGTAACCATCTGGATCAGTGGCCAAAACGCCATCGGGGCAGAAACGAGATGCCTCAGCAGCACACCGGAACACGTGAGGCATCAGTTGGGTGGCAATCTCTAGAAGCTCGCGGTAGACCTCCCAGTCGTCGGAGCTGTGGTTATACCTGTAGTGTGCATAGTAAAGAAATAGGGTAGTGCGAAATGCCAGACACCGTATAACGCAATGTTGAAGTGTACTGGAGCACAAAAAAGATACCAGTCCGCTTGTAGCCTAGAGGTAAGGAGCTTGTCTCGTAAGTTTACGGCGCGGGTTCGATTCCGCGTAGGGGTGGGCGTCCTCGCGGTATACTCAGCCCGCGTGCGACTGGTGGTGGTCGCACGACAGCGAAGCGCTGTTATGGCGTACAGCTGATGCATTATTATTACTATTGTTATTCTTATTATTATTATTATGTGAATAATCTCAACAAGGTAACCTAAATGCAGACTAGGTTCAGTGCAACATGCCACCGAGTCCATGAGCAGGTGGCTAAGGGATCAGTAATACGTCGGCACGCAGTACCGAGGTTTCGCTGCCGCGCAACCAACACCGGTCGCACTACCGTACGCTCTAAAGTTTCAACGATCGTATGATCGATAAAGGTGTTGCATTTGGATGAACAATAGGAAATTTGGGTGTACTATGAATCAGCTTACGAAAATGTGCCCAGGAAAGTTGTTGCTCAGGGAGAACAAAGGAAATACAGGCCACACAGGTAACACGATTGGACATCGAAGAACGCATTGCACCCGTTTTTATCGTTTATCAGATGGTGATACGGAATCTAATCGAATGACGTGTTTTATCGCGCCGGTAAGTGGTGCTCTTGATGTAAAACGTTATGCCACACTCTGATGAAACAAAATCGTGATTGTCAAGAAATTGCGTCGCAGAACCAATGACTGTTCTCCTTTGATTACTGAGAGGGTTGACAGTGAGGGCGAATTAATTCCAGACCTAGCTGCAAGCTGTGCAGCATACCATAAGTATCGAAGATGGCCATGTACCTGTGTATACAGCGGTTACAGTAACAAACGTCGTAAGCAGAGTTGATATTTCACTCAATGGCATCCATTAAACTAGTAAGTCAATCAGACCATCCTCCAAGCTGTGATGTGATGGCATTTCACCAACCACTATTAAATCAGAGGGGTCTGACATGCCCCAATGCACTAGATTAACATGTTCATCCTATCGATGGAAAATAGCCACTTTCCGGATCAATGGAAAACGTGATTCATCATGCCTCGACACAAAGGAGGTCCCAAACAAACCATTGGAGACTGCTGGTCAATTCATTACATTCCAATATTCACCCATCATTTGAAAAAATGGTCGAAAACAACGTGATGAATTTTGTCAACTCGTTTGACTTGATAAATAGTTCGTAGCACGGTTTTCTTGACAAGCTACCGTTCATCACCTGTCAATTGCAATATCTGACCTGCATTCATAAATCTACCGATTCTGGCTATGCGGTAGTAATTCTATTTCTGGACATACATCAAGCAGTAGTCACAAAATTAGAGGCCTAAGGGAACCGGGACCCACTACTAGGTTGGCTATAATCATACCTGAGTGGTCGACACCAATAGCCACTTTTAATGACTACCGCTCTCCTCCACGCCCATCCCTAGTGAGATCATCCAAGAGAACGTGCTCGGTCCTTCACTGTTCCTGCTCTAAATCAATGATTCCACCACATCTGTAAAACATGGACAGCCATTCTACACCATCAAGTGAAACTACACTGCGGCGGTCGAGCCGCATTCGCAAGCGGATCGAACGTTTTCGACCCGGACGGTGACCCTATCCACGACGACGAGGGATGTTAAGTGTTTAGCAAACGATTGTTGACTACCTTTGTCTTACTCTGAGTGGTCGTTTATACACAAGTCTGCACGTATGCATACACCTACACCTTTCTACAACCTTAACTTGTATCAGGTCAGATGTCGAGTACACTGTCCGTCGTACGTACGCTGTCTTCTACCTTTTGGCTACGGGATGACATACGTACGACTAGGAGCGAGTCGTGACAATGGGCCGATCTCCTGAGGTGACGAAGTGGAGTCTCCGAAATAATCAATACACGCACGTAAGGTGAACTGCTACAGGCTTACTAGAGTGTAACAAACATGCCGGACTCGAAGGAATTTGATTTTGAAACGGGATGAACGGCTTAAAACAAAAGAATCAACAAGAGCCTATTTCTCCCTATACTCAGTAATAACCACAAAGTGGATCTAATACGGTGATGGACAGTAGGAGGCGTGGAAGTGAAGAGAAAACTTTTAGAAGAAGTATGCCGCATAGAAATGGGCCTCCAAGAGACGGCTACACGGATAGCCGTAGCACTTCACACAAATTCTGCAACAACTAGTTTCATTCTACCCACAAGTTCTCCGTCTGTCTAACATATTTAACTGATCCAACCCCTGAAAACGTATGTGGAGCTGTTTTTAAAAACTTGACTGAAGATCTATTCGTTGCAATCCAGTTGTACCAAATGATTAGACCCCCCTAGTTAGGGTGCATCTCGTACAGTCAAGAAATATAGCACTTATAAAATATTAGTCACAACGCTGCTCTTTAGTTCACATGCAACAGCTATCGGCCTGACAGCAATGATAAGCGTATGCAATCATGGCAAGATGTGTACAAGAAGCTCTCCGGTTCAATACTGGCCCTTTCCGGTTGTTTTGGGCATGGATGCTACAATCTGAATGGAAAAACGAGTTTACACACATCAATAATGCATTAAATAGAATGCTTAGCTTATGGAGTGCAGGCTGGCGTTGGAATGCTTCAGAAAGTACTGTTAGCAACACGCGTCCATCGTACCTAGAGTGTGGCAGTAATCGTGGCACTCGATGTGAATATTCACAATACTCGTGACCGGAGCACCGGTATGCAGCGCAAGTGGCACAAGCATAGAGATTAGGTGCATTCTAGGCAACAAAGAATTGGGTGCAACAATACACACAAAAAGGCGCGTGCTGCCGCGGTTCAGTTGGTGCTTACAACAGGTTTAAGCACGGTTTCTATGGAGGCTGGGGCAATGTAACGGAATCTTATTTAGCGGACACAACTGAAGCCGCACCAGGCATAGTACGCGCATCCACACGGCTCGCCTGATCGGATGACGAAAGTTAGACATGCTACAATGAGGTTCCTGGCTAACTAAATCAAAGAGGGAAGATCATTTGTCTCAATGTACAACGACGGTGACGAAGTGTGTGAGTGCAGCACACTAACATGCGAGGGAGTATTGTAAAATTGCGTACATTGGCAGTTCTGGTCGCTTAACATTGTTGAAGAGATCGTTTATTCTCAAAGGACTCTCAAATCGCCATCATCATTACACGTTAGCTAAAGGTGAGAAGCATGTCAACTATTGTGCTGTAATACGAAAATATAAGATAAAAGAAAAAATAGGTCACTACAAAAGGAAAAAACCAGAAAGGCACATAATATTATGCATTATTTCATATAATGCACCGAATGCGAAATCGCTGTTGGAGAGGGAAGCCAAGCGGTAAGGGAAGACAAAGAAGTTGACAACTCCATATAGACTAGTGTATCCAACAAAATGTGTCCATCATTCTTCGGATTGCAGCCCGGCAATCTGAAGACACTAACCGACGCCACGTTCGAAGTGGGGGGCCTTCATTCATCTTGACCAAGTCAACACTTGGCTCTTCGTCCTATTCTTCCATATAGGCCCCAGTCGTGCTAACAACGCACGAAGCATGAGGCAGTGTGCTGGTCTGCATAACATGTGGTCCAGCCATCGGAGCATGGTGCGCGATATAACGGTTCCGAGCGGTTCACTCGCAGTTCGTGCCGGACAGTAGTCTTAAGGATCACAAGATTGCCCTGTAATCCGTGGGCGCGCGTTCGACCTGCGTTGGGGACAGGGTGACTTTTGCAATATCATTGACCGGGTGCGGCTGATAGTGGTTGCGCGGCAGCCAAGCGTCGGCACTGATTATCGGCATAGTGCTGATGATACTTATTCGTGCACCAAATACACGACGCTGAACATGCACATTGCCAATGCAGTGTTCTCACCAGACATGAGCCAATTTGCGGAGGCAGTGATGATCGAACCTTCCCAGCCTCTTTATGTTGTCAATCTGACGGGTCAGGATTCGCAACCATAGCAGAGAGTTAGACACGGCTGCACTGCAAACCCTGTCTTTCAGAATGAGAGAGATATCGCGCCGGCGTCACAGTTGGCGGAGATTAGCAAGAGCGTCTCGAGCTTTTGCTGTACGGTTTGCGACGTCATCTTCCATTCCAAAGACGCTAATATGGCTGCTTAGGTACTTCCGGACGACTTCTAGCTGATCAGCACTAAGGTTCAGTGCAGGGGTAGGTTCGTGGAAGTCTTTGCATTTTAAGGATGCAAAGCATAACCCGATACGATTGACAACCAGTGCAAAGCTATCCAGGGCTGCTCGGCATGTTTGTGAGCTATCAGAGATGAGTGTAATGTTGTAGGGGTACTCCAAGTCAATAAAGCGATCACCTGCGAGAAGCTCCACACATTGTACGTCGTTTCCAGGGGAAGCATATTACATAACGTCACCAAAGGTGGACATCCCTGTGTCAGACAGCTGGAGATATTGAGGGACGGTGACAGCTTGCCGTAAGCCCTCACTCTACCCGAACTATGTGCGTATAGCATCTGATGTGTACATATTTATCGAGAACACTTAGTGAGGAGATAGTAAAAAGTGCACATCGATTCATTAAATCGAAAGCACCTTTGATGTCGCGGGAAACGATTATGGTGGATCGCCATTAAATATGGCGGCGTTACAACAAGTAACATAAAGTGCAGATGAGTCAACACAGCCCGATTTAGACGAATCTGGTTTTCACGGGTGCTCGTCAGTCTACGCAGAACAGGCGCAAGTAAGTTCGAGGTACCTAAGATCAGGCCTAACCCCCAACCTTGTCGCAAACATAACGTGAGCCACTGTTGAAAATGGACTATAACGAGGCGGCTGCAGTTTGCTGGGACAGTCTCCTGTTAGCACAGCTTCGGTAGCCAAATGGGCAAATCATCCACAAGAGCTGATACCTCAAATTCGAAGAGAGCTGAAAAAAGCCAAT